CCAACGAACCCTGTTTTAACCTCGGTTAAATCCCTTTTACCCTTGCGCGAGGGGATATGACTTATGAAATACCCCCGTATTTCTATGTATTTTGGAGTTGATTATTTGTTTGATTTTAGGGGGTAATTTGTAATCAATGAAACTTGATGGGGGTGTTAGGTAAGCGCGCTTATAAGAACTGAAAAGGCCAACAGTAATTTGGCAGGACTTGAATGCAAGAAGATGAGAATATTTTAAGGGGGCAAGGCACAGTATCATTAGATGAGGGACTTTTCCAATATTTCGCCAAATAGGGACGCATGCAAATTTTTCCAGGGGTGCATGCAGAGTTTTCCAGGGGGTGATTTGTAACTTTTCCAAACTTTTGTTATATGTGTATTGTGTCAGGCCAGGCGGACTGAATTGCAAAATCCGAGACCTAGAGTGTGCATGAAAATGTGCCATGGATCTTTGGACTAAAGTAAAACTTTCCAGACTAGTATATATATGCACCTTTAGCTCATTTGTTGCAAAATTGGATGAAGAACGAAATTTAAAAGAGATTGAGAGGAGAGGGCCGAGAAATGTAAGGAAGGGAGAGGAAGAAATTTGGGGATTTTTGATGAAGAAAGGTAAGTTTTCATGCATACATGGTATTCTAAACTCTTGCGATTCATTTCTTTTTCTTTTCCTTGGGGCTTTCTAATTCCTTTGCTAAATTTGGAAACAAATAGGAGAAGAAAATGCAAGGAATGAGCATTTGAGCTAAGGAAAGGAAATTGTCAGTGGAATAGTACTATAAATTGCATTAAAATTTTTGTTTCCATGAAATTGATTATATGTGCATGCATGGGTATTTAATTTCCGGTTACAATTCAGCTTTAGAACAGAAAATTTTCATGATTCTTGGATAAAATTCGAGATGCATGTTGATGGTATGAAGTTTATTGATTGTTTTTGGCTATGTGTTGGTATATGGGTGACACGCATGTATGATTTTGTGTATATGTTTAATGTTTGTGCCGAGAATTAAATTTTGGGTTATTTGCATGTTGAATTTATACGCTACATTGCTTGTATTTGGTGTAAAGGGTTGAAGGGTAGAAGAAAGTACTTTTTTGGGCAGAGGCATTCCTGTCGCGACAAGAGTTTTTTCCTGCCACGACAGTGAGCTCTCGGGTAAGAAGGGGGAAACTGTCAGTTGTGAGAGTTATTTTGGAGGTTAACTGAAAAGATTGAAACATGGATGCAGCACTTGTATTTTATGGGCTGTAAATGGAAATTTTCACATGTTTAATGACTTTATATTGTTACAAGTACTGTTGCATCCATGTTTACATGCTGGTTAATTTGAATGAGAATTATATGATATTATTGTATATATTTGCAGTAGGGCACGCATATCTCATTAAATGATTGGATATTCGGTTGCTTGTACATGATTTGTAAAACTGTAGAGCACTCTGATACGGTTTTTGTACTTGGATTTATGTATTTCCGCTTTTACAACTCTTAGTATTGAATATTTCAGTTTGTAATGTACCTTATTTATGTTTCAGACATACCATTGTGTTGTGGTATATAAGAAAGAGTGAGTTGTAATACTATCCCACATTCCTTTAGGTATTTATAGAATCCAGAGTTTAAGTATTCACTTTCTCAATTTGATCGAAGAGCCTTAATACTCTTGTCCAACATATTATGTACTTCATTTCTAAATTCTTTAAATTTATTAAAAGTTTCACATTTATGTCTCATAAAATAGACATAACCAAATCTATTGAAGTCATTAGTAAATATGATGAAGTATGAATATCGACCTTTTGCTTCAACTGTTAATGGATTATATACATCACTATGGATGATGCCTAACAATTATATAACCCTTTCACCATATCTTGTGAAAGACGATTTGGTCATTTTGCCTAAAAGGCATGACTCGCATACCTCAAATGATTGGAAGTCAAAAGGATCCAAGATTCCATCCTTATGGAGTTTTGTGATGCGAGTAATCACGAACATATAAGCCATCATGTAATTTTGCAGTTCCATATAGAATATCATTTAAATTAAAAGACAACTATCTATTAGAAATTTTAAAACGATATCCTATTTTATCCAAAGCGGATATCAAAATAATGTTTTATAGGTTTATGGATCGATTTAACGCTGCAGAAATTAAAAGTATTTTCTATCCACAAACCGAAATCCCAAAATCCTTATATTGATTTGCTGATTTGCATTGTTTAAACATGAAATAAATATTAAAACTTCAATAACAATTTCAACCAGCATTTGGAGGCTTCTTCAATTGATTTTTGGATTCGCTTTCATTCTAGGGAAGGAATGTACGAACGGTATCCACACGAAGATAGGATGACAATCACTAATTGATTTATTTGCCGGTTAGATCAATTAGCTTTAAGGAATAAGAAACGCATAATTTTTACTTGAAAAATTCTTTTCTCCCCACAATGATGAACACGGCTTAGAGAGAGAGAGAGAGGGCGGCTAGTGATGATGAAGTGCTTAAGCAAGCAGAAGCCATGGGGAAGCCAGGACTCATAGAGATCTATGGCAGAGAAGACATCTTCATATTCACAGTTGAATCAACCGGTGCAATTAAACCTTCTCAGATGGTACTCAATGCCATAGAAGTTCTGAAACAAAAGCTGGATGCAGTTCGCCTGTCTGAGGATACAGTAGAAGCTGATGATCAGTTTGGTGAACTTGGAGCACATATGCGAGGAGGATGAACAGATTGGTACATTCTGGTCTCATTCTTGATCTTGTGGAAACTATGTAGCCGTGCATATGAAGCTTTACCTCGTCGGTTGGCAAAAATATAAAATTGTTTCGATCCTTCTGAGATGTTCACTCATTTGTGTATTCTTTTTCACAGGTTTTTGTTCCGCGTTGGACTAAATTCGATACCAGTAACCTGAGCTCCTATCTAAGTGAATCCTATGATTGGACTCCAGTCGGCTCAGGTTGAGCTACTTGAACAAAGTGAGTGACTGGGAAATTCGGATTCTGAAATTTACCTTGAGGCAATAAAAAATATAAGAATAATTTAAAGTTTTAATTTTTGAACTGATTGTAATTTTTTATTCTTTTTGTATTTATTTGTTTATATTCGATCACTTCAAAATTCAAACTGTGGCTTCGTCCCTGCTTGTAAATAAATTAACGTAGCGTTACTCTTTAATTGTCACATAATTCATGATCGGAAGTGTATGAAGCTCCATTATCTCATATACTATAATATAAGGCGTCAAAGTTTTACAAATATATTTTAAAAATTTGTGTTTTAATTTACAATTTTTCACATTAGAATTATTCAAGTTTTACATTAATACATTACTGCATCTATTTGTGTGTAACTATGTATTAATGAAAGCCCTGTAAAAGCTCGCTCCAAATTTGGAAGTCAACATCAAGTTGTGGTAGAACTGTAGAGTGTAGAGTAATATGACTAGATTAGTCTTATATTAACTTAACTATTATTATTTAGGGGGTTTTTTTTTTTTTTCATTTAATAATGATTTTTTATCTAAACTTAAGAGAATTGAAAAGCCCAATTTTTTTTTTTACTCTTCAGTCTTCACTTGAATAAAAAATATCTCAATATATAGTCCATTTTAATCCTTTCGTTCAAACTTTTTGATTCAACTAGTTATACTCATTTTCAAGGTTATAAAGTTAAAATATTATTTAAATAATATTACATAAAATTTATTGTAATAATAATAATAATATATTAAACATCAAATAGGCATATATGTCAAAATGTTGATTTTCAAATCTTTTTATTTGAAAAACAAATAATTTAATACTTTTTTTTTTTTTTTAATTAAGGTGTCTGGAATAGTTTATACACACTTCAGATTTTAAGTCAATTCAATTCTACTCAATTTTAAATTAAAAAAAAAAAAAGCGAACATCACCTTGTTTTATCAAATGAAGGTTATTCTTGACTGAGTAAGATCTGGACGTGGTCTTATCTGGGTTTAAGAAAAAGACTCGGATCAAATTCAAGTCAAGGCTCTAGTTGCATCATTGGACTCGAAGACTCAAGTTTTAAATTAAAACTTATTTATTTTACGAATAATAATACTCTTCCCAAATGATATCCCAAATTTCTCATTTTCAAGCGATGTGTTCCCTTATGTAACTTGGATTTGTAATCGAGGAGTTGAATTGTTAAATAATATGTCAACGCCATATAAGATAACACATAATTTAGGATGAAAAATTTGGGATTTCATTTGGGAAGAATAGTATTACTCTTATTTTATTATTCTAAATGAGGTTTATATGATGGGGTTGATTTCATTCGCCTCTTGAAAAATAGTTAGGTTTTAAGACTTCCAGTGATTTTTTAAAAAAATTAGATTTTTTTCAATTACTTAAAAAACCCCGTAAAAAATTGAAAAACCCAAAAATTAATTTTAGAGGGAGTAAACTAAAATAACATAACTTAAAATAGGGAAAATGTAAATGAATGGACTCAAATAGAAATATTGATACAGATATAGGGTGTTAATAGTAAAAAAATAAACAAATTAATGAAAATTTGAGTGGGGTCACCACTCACCAGCCCCCATTCGTGATTATGTAGGTCCATCTACGCTTGGCCGAGGAGGTCTTTGATACTTTCTTAAAATCAGTGCCATGCTTAAGACTTAATTATCTCTCAGGGTCAAATTAAATAATCTCTTACTTTTGTATACTCTTAATGTGATATTTATCTTATTTATTTATTATATATATGGTTAATAACCGGAAGATTTAAGAGAGAAAAGCCAACGCTAAATTATGGGAAACAAACGAAGTGAAAAAATAATAAATTATATAAATAGATAAATTTTATCAGACAATGCATGAAAACTCATGCATAAAACATTACAAAGCAGAAAGAGTTATTTATCGCTTCACATGAATCTACATAACTTTATAGATAAATAAAAAATTATTTTTAGCTTAAATTAATCATAATTAAATTTCAATCTTCTCCTGATTTATGTTTTAAAAGATCTTGTACCATATTTTCATTACTTAGGTGCGATCAAGAACTTTCCCCACTAATGATCCCGTTTTCTTCTAATCAACTTTCTTCTTCCTTGAATAAATTGGTGGAATACTTTGTTCATTCCTGAAGAAATTTCCAGGATCAACCATAGTCTTCACGTGCACCAGCCTGTTGAAATTGTTCTTAAAATATTTAAAACCCCAAACGCTGCCTTGTTTGAAGCTTGTGTATCCTTTATTATTGTTCGTTCCAACGTCGAGATCCCTGTAATTCATATAGGCTGCTCTAGGATTCTTCGAAACAAATGGAGCCATGTAACTGTACAGCCTCCTTATCCAATTTATGTGCCGTTCTGCCTCTTCATCTCCTCCTCCTTGCCAATACACCAAGTGCTGAATCTTGTAAATGTTTCCAGCTCTGTGCGGAAATGGAGTTTCGGATTCTGAAATCTCATTCATTATTCCACCGTAAGGAATGAAGATCATTACCGCACTCTCAGCCTCTTGCTCGTAAAATCTTTCATATACTCCTTCGAACGCAGTTTCAGGAATCGGTTCCTTCACATAGTCTGATTTTGCTTTGAAAGTATCGAAGCTGGTCGGAGTCCTGCTTAGCAAAACATCCATGGATTCTCCCTGGAATCCTGCAAAGTAGAGAATCGAATCGATCCAGCTCATTTCTATGCAATCTGATTTCTCCAATCCGAGCTCCGGGAGGCTCTGTTGCATTAATGGAACAAGAAAATCAACCCCGCCAAGAAACAAGCACTCGAATGTAGCTCGAATTGTTGTCCTCCCTGAACTGGAATTCGATCTCGTTAAGTAAAGTCTGATGTATAAATCTTCAGGAAGTTTGTCCGCGACGTATTGCCATTTGTCAACAATCTTTGTTGCGTTTTGTTCCAGGGTTCGGTGGACTGTGAACACAGTTAAGGTTGATGGAACAGTAACCAGGTTTATTTTCCAGGCCAGGATGACTCCAAAGCTGGCTCCGCCGCCTCCCCGAATGGCCCAAAACAGATCTTCTCCCATCGATTTTCGATCAAGCAATTGACCCTTAACGTCAATCAAGAGAGCATCAACTACATTATCAGCAGCAAGGCCGAATTTCCGCAGCAAGAAACCGTAACCTCCGCCGCTAAAATGCCCGCCAACGCCAACAGTGGGGCAAACTCCTGCAGGAAACGCAAGAGTTTTACTTTTCTCGGCAATTCTGTAGTAAAGTTGCCCAATTGTTGCACCGGATTGAACCCAAGCTGTTTTGTTTTCACCATCGATACTGATCTCGCTGAGGTATATGAGGTCGAGGATCACAAAAGGGACATCGGAAACATAAGACAGAGCCTCATAGTCATGGCCGCCGCTGCGGATTCTGATTTGAATTCCATGTTTTTGGGAGCAAATAATGGCTTCTTGAATGTGGGAAACTTGCGATGGTGTAATGATGACTAGAGGTTTTGGGGTTGTCGGGGTTGAGAACCTGAAATTTCGGATGGAAAATTCCAGGATGGATGAGAATGAAGAGTTGTTTTCAGTGTAAATTACTTGGGAAATATTGGAGGTGGCATTGTTCTCAGAATGAAGGGAAAGGCATTGAAGAAAATTCTGATGAGAGTCGGCTAAAGTTATGGTTTGAAACGATGAAAGAAAAAGAAAAGAAAATAATGTGAAGATTGTTGAAGAGCTTGGAGACTTCATTTTCTGAAGATTGTTAAACACTGGTATGGATGAGAGGGCAGAACAACTCCTTTATTTATAGTACTAAAAAATGATTGGAAAATAATAGAGACACCGGAAGTAGTACACCGAATCTGTACATCGAATGACATGACGAAATTTTGACCGTCGATTAATTATAATTTAATATTAATCGACGGTTAAGATTTTGTTACTTTATTCGGTGTACAGATTCGGTGCACTATTCTCGGTAACTGTAGCATTACTCAAAATGATTAGCCTGTTTCAATTCCGGAAAAATAATGTGAACGTTGGATTACAAAGTCTTGTTTTTCTGTGGGGCGAATGGAGAAAATTCAAGCATCTAGATTTGGTAATTGATCTCAAAGGACATGCATAACAATTTTGACCAACTTCAGGATTTATTTCTCTTCTTTTATTTCTTTTGTTTTTTAATTTAATTATTTTCTCATGCATATTCGTCGATGTTGACTTTTTATCTATAGCCAGTTCCGACCAGAATATAAATAATAATAATAATAATAAATCTCACAAAACATTATATTTTGAAAAAAATATTGTTAGTTGTTAACTTATAACATTCAATGACAAAAAATCAGTTAAAATTCTCTATATTAAAAATTTTAATCTTTTTTTTTTTTGGTGATCGGAGTGTCCGGACCAGCTTGCGCGTAACTCAACTAATCTCTTAGGGCCCTGAAGTGAACGATCGGGTAAATCTCCTCAGTGGCTACCCTTATTAGTGTCTGTGAGGACTCTAACTCAGAAACTCATGTTAGACCTCTTTGTTCTTTTACCATCAAACCATCCCTTGTTCATTCATTAAAGCATAACTCTTAATTCTTCTTCTTCATGCATGCATAAATCTTAATTCTTGTCATTTCCTCACTTAATTCTTTTTAAATGATTTTTTTTAAGTTTGACTTTATTCATTTTCAACAAGTTGCTACACAAATTTCATATTAGTCAAAAGTCATAGCTTAGATTTTTCCTTTTCAGCAAGTTGCTTCACGTCAAATAATATTCAATTGCGAAAATTAATCTCTTCGTGATCAAGTTTTCAAGTTGAATTATTCAATAAATTTCAATCAAATATATCACGTTTTCTTAAATTTTTTTTGACATAATTATGATGGGTTTATATTTGACTTCCATTGTTGATTGGTAAATTGCATGGAATTTCTTTAGTCATTCATGAGGATAAGCATAAATAAATATCTATATTTTTATTTGTTTATTTATGCTTATCCTCATGAATAAGCATAAATATTATACATTTAATTTAATCCAGCGGTAAGACATACCATAATCGTATCCCAAATATACTATTTGCTTTTCTTTTTATTTCATAATTAGTTACCATTTATTTATTACTAAAAATAATTAGAAATAATGTTATATATTTAAAATAATATCTTAAATTTCGCATTTGATTAATATGTTATTCAAATGCAATACTTGGAAATTTATTAGTAAGTTCTAATTTTAAGATATAACTTTGAAGTATGTATGAGTCACTCTCTTGTCAGAACGTATATCATTGGATTTGAGTTGTAAAATATTATATTAGTAATCTAATGGTAATTAAACATAACATCTTAACCAGAGAGTAGTTCTTTATTTCATCGCTCAAGTCAACTCTTAAACTTTGCAGCCTTAATCCCTTTTTATATCTAATCTAACTACAACTGAGGTTTACTAAATGGGATTACTTAACTATGGTCAATGGCATTACATTTAACTGTACCATAGTTAACAAACAAACTGAACTAATTATAACAGTTATAATATTCTAATAATATATATTCATGATCACCACAAATCAATATAGCACATCCTAACTAGAAAATGATTTTAGAACAATATTCAATAATTAATTATTTATATATAATTATTCACCTAAAATTGCTTTAACGGGACAAATGTAATGAATTATTTATTTATTTGTTCATTTTCTCAATTTCAGAGCTACCATGTCAAATACAATTTCCTTAAAAAGCAAGTTTGCTCATTTTTAAATTAAAATTTTTGAATCATTAAATTAAATTAATCTAAAGTTGCATAGACTTGATTATTTTTGACAATATTAAATGGTACTTTTATTTTTAATTTTTTTTTTTTTTACTTTAAACGTTAACTATTGGATTAAAAGAACAACTTTACGTCAAATTTCAAGATAAATAAATAATTAATATTAGGTTAAACATTTGACAAAAACTTAAATGACACGTGTTATCTTTGTTCGTCCTCATAAATTGCATAATCGCATTTTCTTACAGTATTATTTTTGTTATTTTAGATTGCTCATAGCTAAACTCTTTCCAAGATTTTTCTTTTAATTTTTAATTTTTTAAGGATATTATTATCCGTCTCCCTCATATTTCACTATTTATAATAATTCTCTAAGGTTTCAAAGAGTATGATCAGCAGCAAACCAAGTTTTTCATCTTAATTCTGATAGGATGTAGGCATTTTAGTAATTTACATTAAAATCTATTTACAAATCTTACGTATTTTTTTTTTTTTAAATTTTATACGAGAAATTAAGGGCATGTTTTTATGGAGCTTCTGGCATTTCTGATTATTTGCGTTTCCCACAATTCATTTTGAGAGATACTGAGCACTCTTCTTTCTTTGCCTCAGATTTCTTCTCCACCTCCTGCCCGTTCTCCTGTGGCATAATGTCACATAACATCCATTAAAATTTAACTAGTAGAACTGTTTAAATTAAAAATGAAGACGGTAACGTGTTAATAAATATTTTATATGTGTGACACGGAGATAAACTTAGCTACCAACTTAACACAATGAACCAAGTAAGTTAGTGGAAGCAAGATCTTCTAACTAATGACTCGAACTTCTTCTCCTTGTATTTTTGTTTTAACATATATTGATAATATTACCAACAGATTTAGCATGTTAAAAAGGGAATATATATATAATTCTCTCGATGAACTTTACCGATATCTCATCGTCAACCTTCTCTTTTTTCACTAGCTTCTTGGATTTCTTGCACGTGCAACATTTCTTCTTTGGCTTTGATTCTTCAGCAACAGAACAAGAAAAATAGCAGCAACATTTCTACATCCATACATTAACATGAATTTAATTTATACAACTAAATGAATTAATCTAAGAAAGAAAAACTATGTAACTCAAATATTTAACCTTGTTACAATATCTTTTTTATCATTACCCTTGTTAGAAAGTGATCCACCGATGAAGTAAATTGAATAAAATAATCAATAATAATTACTATTACTTTGTATTTTTCACGATATTGAAGATTGATTTAGCCTTAAATAAATAAATAAAAAATTATTGCAGAAATTCTTACCCTACAGCAAAGTGGGAGGCAGCAACAAAGCCAGCAAGCTTTGGAGTAGCATCCGCACAAGTATGCCTCCCACTTTGCCCTAACTTCAAAATTGTATCATGGATACCCTTTTGCCCTAACTTTGTTATGTTGTCGTTTGTAATATATGAGTGAAATGGTAACTTTGGTAATATCAAATAGTGTTGGGGTAAACTGATAGCTTTGGTCCTATAAGAAAGTGATTTGCAAACGTAACAACAATGTGATGGGATTAGGGCACAGGGAAATCTATGATGAATTTTTTAAACTTCGAGGGTCCATTTGATAACGCAAAAGGGTATCTATGATACATTTTGCAAACTTTGAGGGTCCACTTGATAAAAAGTGAGAAAGTTGTTATCCAAATGATAAATTTGGAAACCTTAAGGGTGCGTTTGACATGGAGAATGTTTTATTACTAAAAATGTAGGATTACCACTGAAATAGATTACCTTGAAGATTATAGGAGAATGCTATATTAATATATTTGGTTAGATTAATGGGTATAAATAATTAAAATGTTTGGTTGAGAAGAATAAAATATTATCGACATAGACTTTTGCTTAGTTGCCCTTCCCTTTTAGGGTGCGTTTGGCTTATTATTTCTACCCATATTCACAATCCTATTCTCCAAATATTGTTTGGCACATTATTCCAGAAATATTACTATATTTTTTTAAATTACTTTTAGACCCCTTAAGTTTATTAATTTCAAATACCCCCTAAAAAGTTTAAAAATTAACAAAAAAACCCCATCAACCCATACTTGCCAGATTCCAACAACCACCGTCGGTGGTAGCCAGAATCTGTACAACGGCCTACACCACAACCAGAACTTGCCGGCAGTTCACAGATTTGGCCGTCGCAAAGATGGACTTTTTTAGCCTTTTCCGGCCATCGACGGCCACATCTGGCCGTACATCTGGCCTTTTCTAGCCAGATCCATGGTGGATCTGGTCGAAAAAGGCCATATCGATGCGTTATGATATAGATCCGACCGGTCTGTGTCGTAACCCAATTTTCCTGCCAGATTCTGACGGTGGTGGCCGAAATCTGGCATTGCGAGTGGTGGGGGTGTTTTTATCATTTTACATGTTGGGGTGTTTAATTATATTAGCAAACCTAGGGGTTTTTTTAGAAATTTTTAAATTTTACCTCGTAGTACTCCCCTATTCAACTACCCAATATTATTCTCAAAATCCTATCCAAAATAATAAACTAAACGCACCCATTATTATTATTATTATTTTTTTTGAGTAACTGGTAATTTAATAAAGAATAAAGAATTACAACATGGACAAGATGGACTCGATAATGCACGACCTTATAAAAAAAGGGACTACGCCTAAACAAAATAGAAACAAAAGGACCCAGGAAAATAGCATCCTTTACACAACCAAATCCTGTCCCAAGGATGACAAAAAAGGCCCAAGGAGGCTATACAATGATGTTATACAATCAAGAGAGGAGCAAACAACCACAAATCCATTCCCAGCCATAAGGCACAACCTGCACGAGACCAAAAGCAAGGAAACAACCCAATAGCAAAAGCCTAAACACTGGCCATGCACACATCAATGCAGCACCAAGCAAAGAGAACCAGTTGCACCCAAAAAAAGAAAAAAGGACCCTACACCCCACAACA